GAATCATGACGAAGGCTGTTCTCCGTTTCTGGCCTCGGGGGGTGCTCGCCGGGCTCCCGGACCGTCAAAGAACGGCCTAGGACAGAAGGCCGGCTCTGGGGAAAGGGTCGGGATTTCGGGGACCCCGCATTGAAGAATCAAGCCATCGGATCGCTGGACCTCCAGCGCGTAATTACTGGCGTCGAGACACTAAGCACCAACGCTGCGTCATAAGACCCAGGGTCGGCACGGCAGGCTGCGGCTTCTGTCTGTGTTCTGCAGCTCGCCGCCCATCACGCCACCCCAACCTATGTAGGGGGGTGGGGGGGTGGGGAACATTATATTGAAAAACACACACGAAGCTCGTGCCCCCCCAACCCGAAGTCCCCGATTCGCCCTCCACTCCAAGCGGGAGGGGGCGGGGAACACTACATCGAAAAGCACACGTGAAGATCCTTCCCCCCCCCCAACCCGAAGGCCCCGATTTGCCCTCCACTCCCAGTGGGGGGGGGGCGGGGACCATTACGTTGAAAAGCAAACATATGAAGCTCGTGCCCCTCCAAATCCGAAATTTGGGTCTTCGGGTTGGGTTGGGGTGGTCTGGCAGGCTGATGGGCTTGTTTTCCACCGCCACCACCATAAGTTGGAGGGAGGGAGGAGGACGACGAGGAGGAGGAGGAGGAGGACGAAGAGGAAGAGGAGGAGGAGGAGGGGAGGAGGAGGAGTGAGGCGGAGGAGGAGGAGGAGGAGGAGGAGGAGGAGGAGGAGGAGGAGGAGGAGGAGGAGGAGGAGGAGGAGGAGGAGGAAGGAGGAGGTGGAGGTGGATGCGGAGGGGGAGGAGGAGGACCCCCTCCCCCTCCAACTTATGGTGGCGGTGGTGGAAACAGGCCCATCACAGGCAGTCAAGCAAGCCAGGCGCGGCGCGGCGCGGCGCGGCGGTCGGTCCGTGCCTGGCGCGGCACGGCGCGGCACGCGGGCGGTGTCTTCTCCTTCGCAAACATCGCAGAAGCATAGCTTGGGTTTTTTTTTTTGTGTGTGTGTGTGTGTGTGTGTGTGTGTTTTTATTATAAAAACAAGCAACAGTTCAACTTATTTTATTGTATATGTACATCTCTTTATATCCGTGTCTATATATATATATATATATACATGTATATAGAAAACATAAATATCGAAACAAGGACGATTTTTTGAGCATGTTTGAGGGCTTGTTGACAATTTGGGAGTATTTTTGTTTTTTCGTCCAAAATCCGCGTATAGGGGGACATGCCCGACCCAAAACTAATGCTACGTGTGCGTCGCCCCCCCTGGGGCGACGCGCGCACCGAGAACTCTTACAGTACATGCGCCGTGGCGGGCGCTTTCTGGCCACACCGCTCGGCAAACGATGCGCTATACAGGATGGGTATGCTATATCTTCGAGTCGGACGCGCGCCTCCAAGGAGGACACACAGTATTAGAAGGTCTCTGTGCGTCCCACATTAGGCTCAAGTCGGGCCTGTTCCTGGAGACGATTTTCTGACCATTTTTGACAATTTGGGAGTACTTTTTGGGTATCTTTTATTGCTCGTCTGGGGGACGCGCCCGAACCAAAATTTAGGCACGGCACGGCACGGCGCTGGAAGCGACCGGCAGCTCTTCCGCGTTCCCGCGGCGAGGCACGGGCGCGGCACGCGGGTGCGGCACGCCACGGCACGCCGCGCCGCGGCGTGGCACGGGACGCGGCCATGGCACGGCCCAGCGACACGGCACGGCACGGCACGGCATGGGACGCGGGCGGCAGCGATCCTGCATCCCAGCGACGAGGCACGGTGCGGCACGGCACGCGAGCACGGCGAGCTGTACTGCATGTCAGGAGCGAGGCACGGCGCGGCACGGCACGTGGGCAGCACGCCCCCGCTGGGGTTCACCTGGCTGCAGACAGCTGTCAAATTTTGAGCCCTTGGCCGCTTTTGCCGAACCCTGACCTGCAGGGGTAGGAGTCACGAGTGATTGCCGATGGGCAGCGCGATAAGTGAGCAGAAGGAGAACCGTTTCGGCTTGGATCGTGGAGGTCATCTTGGGCAATGGGGAGAAGCGCGCCTTTGCCATGGGAGGCACTTTCCACAGCTCCTTGGTCGGTTCGTTCGGGTCTGGGCCTGCCGCGCGGGCAGACCGCTCGAAGCTTGTACGCAAGCCCGCTGGTAGACTCGGTGTGCATGCTCAGTCTGATTGCCGGCTGGTCTTGTCTGCTTGCGGGCCAGCCTTGGGCAGACTTCCAGCCATAGTCCGAGCACAGGTCCCGGGGGCTGGCAGCGGGGAGGACATGCACGGAGGTGGCGGCTGCGCTTCCGAGCGTCCGCGCGGGTACACGAGGGATTCACTGCTCGCAAAGAGTCCACTCGCAAGCGTCCGAAAAACACATGGTTACCTCGATGCAATGGATCGTGAATTCTCCGCGGCGTATCCAGGCCGTTTGCGAGTAGTTACTTCTTGCGAGAAATGGAAGGCGCTTGTCCAGGGACGGCATGGCAACGAGGGGCTCACATGTTTTTTTTTTTTTTTTTTTTTTTTTTTCTCCTTCGCTCCTTTCTTCTCCCTCGCATGGGCGTGCCGTCCGTCAGCACTTCAGACTGTGCCAGCGCGCAGTGCGCTTGCATGGTGCTTTTCTGCCCGGAGTGCGGGTCTTTGCGCACGATTCCTGCGGTGTTACTCCGCCTTCTGATTCTGACCCACTGCACAAAGATGAACTTTCGGAGGTCCGCGCGGATCTTTTGGATCTGCGCTTGGCTCCCCTGGCGCGCTCCGCTCGCCAGGGACGGGTTTCCATCGCCCTCCCAGAAATTCGAGCGCTCTGGAAGTCTATGGTCATCAAAGTTCAGGAGGGCAAAAAACACACAGACACAATTAATCGTCGATTCCCACAAAATATGGGAAATTATCCCGGCAACGCAACCTAACAGCGATGTGTAGAAGCATAGCTGGAAACATTGCCTTGGATATTCATGTAAGAGTGCTGTTGTAGAATTCAGGTGTTCTCGCAGTCGCATTTGGATTCGCAGTGGCAGTCGCAGTGGCAACATCAGTCGCAGTCGCAGTCGCAGTGGCACTGCCAGTAGTTGCAGTAGCAAGAGCTACACTAGCAGCAGCAACAGCAGCAGCAGTAATAGTAACAGTAGTAATAGCAGTAGAAGTAGTAGTGATGGTAGTAGTGGTAACTGTGAAGTAGTAGTTGTAGTGGGTGGAGTGAACGAGTAGGAGTAATGGGAGCAATGGTAGTAGCAGTAGAAACACTAGTAGCAAGAGTAGTACACTCGAAGACCACGAAGTGGCCTACAGTTGGCTCCGTGCACCCAAAATGTGGCCCGGGAATGGAGTTCTGGAAACTCGAAGACCACGAAGTGGCCTACAGTTGGCTCCGGGCATCCAAAATGTGGCCCGGGAATGGAGTTCTGGGAACTCGAAGACACGAATTGGCCTACAGTTGGCTCTGGGCATCCAAAATGTACGCCGGGAATGGAGTTCTGGGAACTCGAAGACCACGAAGTGGCCTACAGTTGGCTCCGGGCATCCAAAATGTGCGCCGGGAATGGAGTTCTAGCAGCGCCAAAAGCGATTTTGCGAGGATGTCCCAGGCGATTTGGGCTTTGATGGCAGCCGCCCCGGGTCCCGCCCCGACCCCCCTGAGGAGTCATGATGTTCTCTTTTGAGCCTACTAGAAACCTATCAGTCTTCGCTGTTAGGTAAATATGGGAAGTGGAGGGGAACACAAACACCGAGAAAATATTGGCAAATATGGGGAATCTTTTTATTTGTGTGTATTTATTTGTGTGTCCTGGGGCCCCTTCAAAAGTAAGTCGTTATCCTGAGTCTACACACAGCATCGAGTTGCTTTCGAAGCGACGGGGGGGCGGCGTCCACGCAGGGCGGTGTCTCCGACGCGTCTCCGGGTGCCGGCGGAGAGGCGCGGGGCAGGATGCAGGTTGTCCGACTGGGAGAGGCGACGGGGCACGGTGCTTCGCAGGAGGGGAAGAAACACAGAGACACAAGTCATCGTCGACTCCCAGGAAAATGGGGGAACACATGGGAAGTGGGGGGGAAGGCGAGAATCCAGAGGGTATGGAAAAATATGGGGAATCCTGGGGTCAGTGTGTATTTATCTGTGTGTCCTTCGGCCCCTTGAGCTTCGAGGATGGATGATCATGTGCTTTCTTGCTCTTGTTGTCGTTTTGGTCGTCGTTGCCCTCGCGAGGCCTCTGCAGAGCCCCAGAGGAGGGCCTGAGAAGGAGCGGCGAGAGATTTGTGAGAGAGAGAGGGAGGGGGAGAGAGAGGCGCACCCTCGAGTGGTTGGTCTCGATGCATTCTAGCATTCGGAGAAGAAAAACCGCACAAACATAAACTTTTGGCGCTTTGCGCGGGTTTCTTGGATCCGCGGCTGGGCCCCCCTGGCGGCGCCTCGGGCGCCGCCCCTGGCGCGCTCCGCGCGCCAAGGAGGGAGGTCCGGCGTGGATCCAAGAAATCCGCGCGGAGCGCCAAAAGTTTATGTTTATGGGTGCTCGTGCTCAGCCGTTATCTCTGCGGGCTTTGCCTCCCCACCACGTGTGAATACGTGGGTCATTGTCGTGCGCGTGATCGTTGCGTTCCTCCCCGAGTTATGCGGATGGCTACTTCCGCAAATCCGATGTAGTGCTCTTTTCGCGGGGTCACCAGGAGTCTTGACCCCTTCCCCAGGGCCAGCTTTTCATCCCGATTCGTTGATTGACGGTCCCAGAGCCCGCAGGGTCCCCCAGAGTCAGCAAACGGCCAAACACTTCCCTCACCATGTGAGCATGCACGGGGCTCAAAAATATTCACCACCACCACCTCCCTCGCCCCATCCCTCTCCCAGGAAAGAGGGGAGGAAGGGGAGCGCAGAGGAGGGAGGAGGACTGGAGGTGATGGTGGTGTGTACTCTTGGGGCCCGCAGCATGTCTGGGCAGATTCTCGCGAGGCCTCCGTCGAAGCGGCACGCCAGCGGCCCGTGCCTGAGCGCCCTTCGCAAGGTGAAGGACGACAACCCGTACAGCCGGCTGATGGCCCTGAAGCGCATGGGCGTCGTTCCGGACCGCGACGTTGCTCTGCAGTCGAGTTTGATTGGTGGGTGATCGTTTTTTTGTTGGTTGTTCTGCCGATTGGCGCGGGCCTTCGCACCCCCCTCCCCCCTGGAGTAGATCTTGGCTGTTTCTGGAGCCTGTCTCGAGCGGGTGGAGTCTCCCCCATGGGACGCACCGTTGGAAACAATCGCACTGTGCAGAGGTCCCCCCCCCTCCCCACCCCTTTTGCCCAATGTCGAAACGCCGAATCAGAAAACGTTCAGTAGGTCGACCCTTCCAAATCAAGGGTACCCTTGTGTCCTTTGTTTCGTGACGCATGCCTTCTGCATTCCGTTGGCAATGGGACCCTCGGAAGGGTCTTCTGTCCTCTCGCGTGTCCTCTCCAATCAAGCCCGACTGCAGGCCTCCCAGGTAGGGTCGGATCAGATGGGGTTGGAGGATCGCGCCGCATCGCCCATGCATCGGCGATGTTGAGCCCAATTTTCTCCACGCCGCGTCGCCGATGCACCGTCGATGCATTGTCGATGCGTCGTCGATGCATCGTCGATGCAACGGCGATGCATCGGCGATGCGGCGCGATCCTCCGACCCATCTACTCGGACCCCATCTGGCAGGCCTCTAGTTGCGCGGAGTGTTGCATCACGCACTGTTCCGTCGTAGCCAGGGTCTGGATATTGTTCGCACGCTCTCTTGTCAGATTCGTGGAAGAAACGCCGGAAGCAGAAGCTTTCGGAGCTCCGCCAGGATTTCTTGGAACTGCGCTGGACCCCCTTGGCGGCGCTTCTGGCGCCGACCCACGGAATCCGTGCGGAGCTTTACCAGTGTATGCTTACATTGCTTCCCTGTTCCTCAAAATCAGCCCGACATTTACCAAGGAAGGAAAAACCACCCGGACCGGACAATTGGCGTTTACTGAAAGGCCCTGGGCGTTTATTAAACAGCCCTGCCCTGTTTGGTTCTTTCTTTGGGTGCATTTACTAAACGGCTTCGCGTCTCGGGGTGGTAATTATCGGGGTGGATTTTCTGCCCTCGAATTTTGTGCCAGGTTTTGGGCTCATGTTCTGACACTCCCTTGGCATATGCTGCCAGGGCAGGGCAGCACCTCTGGAGTCGTCCCTGCTGCCGCCGCCTGCCCGGGCTGTCTCCGAAGGCCTCTGGAGTTCCCCACAGCATCCACACGCTGTCCTGGGGCAGCGGCTCCCCGACACACACACATTTCATTTCCGCCCCGATGGTGTTAAGTCGGGCACGTCCTCGGGGACATGGTAGTACGCGTCCTCCGCGTCAACAGTGAAGGTGGGCCATCCGTGCTTCAGAGCCACATAGTCCACCACTCGGCTGTCAGCCATGCTGCTCCCTGGCGTGAAGAGGTCGTCGCGGTACTCCTGCCACTTGAACTCTCGCGCGATGTGCCTTGACTTAGTGATCCTTCATCCGAGATTCGCGTCCCACTTGTAGACATGGTCCCAGCGGGCGCTGATCCTCTTTCTGGCGGCCTCGCTCCGCTTGACGAGCTTGCCCACCCCGTCTTGCTTCAGGCCGTCGAGGGCCCGTTTGGTGGAAGCCTCGATCAACTGCGAGTCTGACGCGTCGTGGGGATCAGGGACATCCATGTCCCTGAGGATCTGCAGGAAGTCAGGACGAACGTCATCACAGTGCTCCGCCGCTACTCCGCTAACTCGGGACCTCGCAAGAGTGCCTCGGTTGTCACCCTCCTCCGCGGGTCGCTTCGGCGATCGACCTATCGGGGGCGTCAGCGGGGGTGCACTCGCTGGTGCTGCGGCCCTCGGCGCCACGGGGGTGCCGTCCCCAGCGCCTCCTCCAGCCGACGTCTGCGTCGCTGGCTCCGCCTGTCTGCCCACAGCAGGCGCCTCGGCGCCGCCCGCCGCTTCGGCCGAGGGCGCCGCCATGGGCGGCCCCAGTGGTCTGGGCAGCAGCGTTCGGGTCTGGCTGAGTCTCAGCTGCCTCTTGCGCCGCCAGGTCGGCGTCCGCAGCGGCAGGGGGCGTTACAATAGGCTCGATCCCACGCGGGACAGTGCCCTGCCCTCGGCGTTGCCACGGCACGTGCGTTATCGCCGCCACGGCGGTGCGGTTGAACCTCCGCTCTTCGGGCAGCCTCTTGACGGTCCTCGTCGTGACTAGCTCACCCGTCTCGAGGGCGCATATGTGCTCGTCGGTGTCGTAGCTCTTACCTAGCCAGACTGCCCTCGCAAAACCCATGTCACCCTTGTGGTACACCTTGCCTCTCGCCCTGCGATTCTTGCCCCTGGGCAGGCGCGCCAGGACGGACTCCCCTGGAGTGGCCATCTCCCTGGTGTAGGCGTGGCCGTAGAGGTCCTCATGTGCCGTGCGGCCGTTCGTCTTGATTCTCAGGTTGGTGCATACCCACCCCGCGTGGCGTTGCAACCACTTGTACATGGCCGTGCCTGGTCGGACCCTGGCTCCCAGTCGCGCCTCCAGCGCGCTCCTGCTCGTGCGGAACTGCGCCTGGATGATGCCTATGGCATTCTCGGAGGGGTTCGACTGTGAGCTGAACGTAGGTGCGGGTCCCACGACCACACGGTTGGGCAGCTCCGCCTCGACCTTGTTGGCCAGGTCCATCATGACGTCCTCGTGGTTTGGCCTCAGGATGGCCATCTGATGGAAAAGGCTCTTGATGAGCGCCACCGTGGCTGCCACCGTGTAGGGGTCAGCGCGTCGGTCAGGCTTCGGGACACTACGCGTGGCGCCTGCGTCGGAATCCGAGACCACCAGCACCACTTCCTCGTCCTGTCTCTGGCCATCCTCGGCGCGGGGGCCTGCCTCCACGGCGTCGGCCGCCTCGCCCTTGAAGAATGCCAAGTCGAGTCCGATGACGGGGAGGCGCTCCACCTCCGCGTCTAACAACTCGCGGGGCCTGTCGCGCCCGCGTCCCATCTGCCAGTGCTCACACCAGCGCCGCGGTGGGCAGTGCTGGTTCTCATCGTGGCGCTGTCTCTCATCTGGCGTTGGCTCGCGGACGTCGGGGAACGCGGTCGGTTCACCACCTGTCCCCACTCCGCCTGACGCCTCATCTCCTCGCGCCTCAGCTCGCGGAAATCATCCGTCGCCGCCCTCACCTTGCGTCTGCCCTCGTACTCGACGAGCCGCGCCCAGCACCGAGCCTTGGTCCCGTAGTTTGGGGCGTGGATCTCCTTGAGAGGCGCTTCTGCACGGCGTCGATCCTCGAGCTCGGTCCAAGCCCCTCGAGATACGACCGCCCCGACGGCTGTGCCGCCGCAGGTGCCTCCCGGCGCTGCGCGGGCGCCGCCGCCTCCTGCGCCTGGGGTGGCGCCGCCGCCGCTTGCGCCCGTGGTGCCGCGGCTCCTGCCTCTGGTGGCGCCGGGTCACGCGACCCTCGAGCTTCTGGGTGCGGCGGAGGGTCCTCTCCTCGCACCGTCCCCCACGGAGCTCCCGTGGCACCAGCTGCGGCGACCCTGGCGGGGCAGGCTGCGAGCTTGGCCTCGTCCATCGCGTCGTGGATCTATGCAGCGAGGTAGAACGCATTGCCGACTAGCTTCATGTCCGCCCGCTCGCCCGTCTTGAGGTTCACGGCGTGCGGGTCGCTCTCCTCAAGGACAAGCCTGAACTGCTTGCGCGCCAGCTTCCCGAGGCTGAGCACCGCGTCCTGAGGGGCGAGGTCGTTGCTCACTCTGAGGTTCCCCAAGCATGGCTGGCGACCCTTCTCGCCACCGACGACCATCGGGATCCTGCGGAGCCCCTTGGTACCAAGTCTCTGACCGCTCACCGTGGTGAGCTTGGGCGCAGTGGGGTCCTCCTGGACCGTTGGATGCTGTGCTCCGAACGCCTGGCTGCAGAGGTGCTCGTTGCTGCCACTGTCTGCGAGGATGAGCCCTCTGCGCTCCTCCCTGCGGCAGCCTCCGACCGAGCTCCTGACTCCAAAGACCCAACCGACCTCGTCGCCGTCGGAGCCTGCAGCCACCGCGCTCACGGCCCTCTGGCCCTCAGCACCCGCAGGGGCCTGCTGGACTGCGGCCGCCTTCGAGGGCGCTGCCGGCGGCGCCCGTGGCTTGCCAGCCGCCTTATGCCAGCAGTCCTTCTCCTTGTGCCCCTGCTTCTGGCACCAGTTGCAGGTTCCCTCGAGCTTGGCGGGGTAGCTGCCCTTGAGCTTGTCATTCTTGACTCCCTTCTTGCTGCCTATTCCGCTCTTGTCGCACTTGCCGCTCATCTTGTCACCCTTGCCGCCTCCCGACTTGTCGCCCTTGCGCTTGGGCCAAGGCTGTTGCGGCAGGGCATGGCCCGAGATCGCACCGATCTCCATCGGCGCCACGCCTTGATCCACCGTGCCGCTAGCTGCGAAGACCTGTCCCGACGCCACCCACTCTCTATGTGCGAGACCTTGGCGGCCGTCGGAGCGTTGCGCAGCACGGTCTTGGACGGCTCGGGGCTATGGACGAGCAGCGTGGCGATGCCAAACTCATCGCCGAAGTCCTTTCCCGCCTGCATGACGTACCTCGCCACGTCGTTGTCCCAGTCAACGAGCTGGTCGGCGAACGGCTTCTGGTCGTCCCACCTGGGGTTGAGCAGGCCGCTGAGCATGGCCGCGAACCTGTTGCCCACCCCAGGCTCGTACTCGTTCTTGATCGCCCGCCAGGCGACGAAACCCTCGTGCCTGCCTGCGAGCGTAACCATCGCCAGCGCCTTGCGCTGGGTCTTGGTGATCAGCATGGCATGCAGCAGCTTGCTCGTCGCAGCCGCCCGCTATCAACGCGAAGAACGCGTGGGCCTTAATGGACCAGCTGGGCCAGTCCTCATCTCTGCCACTGAACTCTGGCAGCTTGATGTCGCCCGTGCAATCCACCAGCTGCTCTCTGGGCGCCGCTGCCATGGGCAGCGCACGTCCTCAGTCTTCCCGTGGATCTTATCTGCGCAGTTCACCGCAGAACCACGCTCACCGCTACCATGGCGGAAGTTACGCGGATGCGTGGGGAAATCGTATATTGGGGCTCTTGTTCCTCCAACGCAGCTCG